GTTGGTTCCGCTTCTTTTCTGTTCAACAGATAAACATTAAATCATTTAGATTAGAGCCAACTGGCCGGGCCTTCAGACTCAGAGGGTTCTGGTTCTGATCGGGGTGAGAGCCAGACTGTGGAGAGGAAGGAGGCTTTCGCACAGGACGAAGTTAACTTTTTATACACACACACACACACACACACACACACACACACACACACACACACACACACACACACACACACACACACACACACACACAATAAGTGGTTCAGATAATAATATGATTGTATATTTGATTTTTCCCTCGGATTAACCCTTTGATGTTCTCTTACTCGCTGATCCCGAGGATTCTGGGAACGCCGGCGTCTTCGATGCGCAGGATTCTGATGGAGAAGATGCTGTGGCTGCAGGACGACACATAACGCCTGGTTATTATTAATATACTAATCAAAACAACAGGAGTATGTCAACATTTGATGTTTTTCAGAATTTCTCAAAATAAGATTTTTAAATGTTCAAAAGATTTGACATTTCCGAAGTTTCTGAAAAAAAAAACTTTTCACAGAAATCTCTCAAATTTAAAAAATGTTCCTAAAATTTCTGAATTGTTTACTTTTTTTCAGAATTTTCTCAAAATGTTCTGTTTTTTCTTCTGAATGAGTTTTTTCGGGATTTTCCCAAAAATGTGACTTTTCAACATTTTAATATTTTTTCATACTTTTCTGAAAATGAAATATTTTCCAAAATGTTTCTTTTCTTAAAATGTGACTTCTTTCTGGTGCTATGAGTCCAGCGCAGCCCGTCACTCCTTCATCAGCTCAGAGGTGAATGCAGAGTTCAGAGTCTGGTCACTGCGCTGCTCGTTCACTGAAGCTAGAGTGCAGGAACATATCGGTTTACGTTAAACATGTTTATATTCCTGCACTCCAGCTTCATGTTGAGGTATGAAGGCTTGTTGTTCGTCTCCTGAATGCACGTCTCTGGTTGGCGGCACCTTGAAGAAGGAGCAGCTCTCCTCTCGTTGCACCTGGACAATGAGAATGAGGGATTCTATCTATTCTATGAACCATCATGTTTGAGCACCTCCTGCTGGACAGACTGTTGAGGCGCGTGGAGGAGAAACTCTGGTTCTTCCTCCCGATCTTCATCACTCTGTACGCCTCCTCGGAGCTGCTCGCCTGCACCCAGCGCAGGTCTGCACACAGAGGGGGGTTTAGAGACGCAGCACAACACAAACAACAAACAACAAACATCATGAATGAAGAACTAACCCTGAGAGATGTGACAGAAAGATAACCTAATATCTAATATCTTCAAATAACGTCTGATTAGAAATCTCATTCTTTTTCAAGACTCAAGGCTTTGATTGTCATGTTTGCAGATCTATTGCAAACAGATGTTATTACAATATGATATAAAACAAAACAGCTTTACCTGTAGAGTTTATTAAATGTAATCACCTTTGATGAAGGAGTTCCCCTTGACGTCCTGGGACAGACGCAGCACCGTCCTCCTCTGCTGTCCGCTGGGGACCTGAACGCCACATGACCGTCAGACATCTTTAACTCTTGTAGTGTGCGTGCGTGCGTGCGTGCGTCAGAGTTTCCGTTAGCCGGTAATTATCGGACTACGACCGGTAAAATATGCTGAAGACCGGCAAATCTAAATCTCTCCGGTCAAAGTGTCCGTTCAAAGATAATTTCTGTTTAGCGCAATACCACATCAGTTGCGCAACTTGCGCCACTTATGTGACAGACAAGAATAGTCCATTCTAATGTCTAACGCGTAATGTGGAGAAAGAGATGTCCTGTATGGTTGATTGTGCGTTGATCTGTTGGTAATGCCTCGGGGTTCCGGTGGGCATGTAAACAAATGCATAATGCTGCGCTATACTTTGTGGCCTCACCCAGTTGCATAGCGACACTTATTGTTTAGGTGTCTTTTAATAAGCAGGTAGTCATATCATTAGCTAGAACTAGCTGGATCTGATCGATATAGACATAAACGAGAGTGAAGTCTAATCTGACGGGAGAGAGAGATCAGCTGCTGCTGACGAGTCGACACGCAGCTCTGCATGATCACATGCAGCGGTGAGCGGAACAAACACACACTTCAGGTTAGAATATCACACGTAGCTATTTTAATTACCTCTCAAACTACCGTAACTAGTTATAGATATGTTTAGTTTTACTGTCGGGTCACTCATTACTGATCCGCGAGCTGCATGATACTGACGGGCTGT